AAGAAGCATAGCTTCTATCGCTATCACCTGTAATTGATGCGCCTTGATTGTCAAAGTGCGTATAATTTGTTTTTGTTCTGACAACACCACCTTGTATAAATTCGCCTTGGCTTTGGCTAGGCGGAAATACGCTAGAAAAACATATATATATATATATATATATATATATATATATACATATATACATATAGTGTATATGTGTATGTATACGCGGATATGTAAATAAAGCAAAACAGACGATAATTTGACACAAGCGTGCTCATAAGAAGAAGCATAGCTTCTATCGCTATCACCTGTAATTGATGCGCCTTGATTGTCAAAGTGCGTATAATTTGTTTTTGTAATTTTTGTTTTTGTTCTGACAACACCACCTTGTATAAATTCGCCTTGGCTTTGGCTAGGCGGAAATACGCTAGAAAAACAGCTGTTGTTTATTGACGACACGGTTGCAGGTGGAAAATATAAACGATATTTCGACCTAAAACTTCCGATATTTTTTAACCGACATCAAAAAACGAGAAGGTTATCAATTCGTCGGAATATTTTTTTTTATTTATGTTACCGCATAACTTTTTACCATGATTCAATAATTAAAGGTTTGCTCAATTGACATAAGAGTTTTGACACACCCTTCACTCCCTTACGAAAGCTTTGCTAACACACACACGAACCCACACACAGTGCCTTGCTAAGAGGGCCGATTTTGTCACGAGGGAGCGAGAAAACTGTTTTCTGAGCAATCCTTTTATTATTGGATCATGACTTTGGACCACGTCAACCGATTTCGATAATTCATTTTCTATCGGAAAGGTGGGTCTCCGAGGTGGTCCCATACTAATTTGGTTTAGTCCCGATCATTGGATGATGAAGAAATTAACGGTACTCTTAAATTTTTATTTGAGAATTGAAGCCGGCTTTGTTTTGTCCTTATTCTGACCATATTTCAAACGGATTTGTAGTGAAATGAGCCAGCGGTTCTTTACCAAAGGCAAACAGTTCGCTCTATCGACATTTCCAACACATTACTGTTGTTCATCTCTAAGTTGCAGTAAATCGGAAGGGCACCTTGAAATAAGCATTAAATTTATATGCGTCATTTCGGAAATTTCAGTCGGTTTTTGATCATTCTTTAGGTTTCTTAAATCGTAAAAATGGCCAGTGAAACATCAGTCCCACCGGATCCGACCTACATTGTCAATATTACTACACCCAGGCATACTCTTTTGTCTGCTCTTTACAAACAGTTAAGTAAATTCTTGTATCGTTTATGTATTACATAAAAGTAATTTACAATTTCATATTAAAACAGGAGTTTCGCCTACAAAACCATGCGCTTTCGATTGCCAGAAATTCTTAATAATATAGTGGCCGAGCTTGGAGAGGTTGGTATATGCACAGTATACATACATCCATACATATGTAAGTAGACGCCTTTATTGGACGGT